AGAGGCTTTCCAAGCTGGTCAGCGGCGCTCCCGGCTTGCTAAGAGCTCGGAGCACCTTCCCGGTGCTGCGGTTTGGACACTCCGGCACGCCAGAGCCTCCGGCCACGCACAAGGGGGTGAGGTACCGCTGCTCGGCCAGGGGCTGCAGCCAGTGCCCCAAAAACAGCGCGAGAGGGAGGGCAGGACGGATGCGCCTCTTGTGGGGCGATCCTGGGTTATGAGTGCAATTGATTCTCCTGGAGCTGCGGGACCCGCGGGGATGGCCGCTGGCTTCCTGCGCCCGAGCCTACCGCTGCCAGAGCCCACGGCACCCACCGCGCTCCCCGGGGGAGGCCCTCCTGCCTTCCACCTCCCCAGAAACAGAGACCCAGCTCCTTGCCCGGCTCACCCCGCAGGACCGAGGGGCCTCGGAGAGCTGTTGTCACCTCGAGTGCTTTCTGAAAACGCCCAGAGAGGCTCAGGAGCACGAAGCAGCAACACTGCCTCTCCCCGGCTGTGCCCTTACGGACCTGCTACCGCCCTGACGGGCTTCCAGCTCCTTACGGACCTGCTACCCCCCTGATGGGCTTCCAGCTCCTCGCCCCGTAAGAGGGACTTCCTAGGAAGGGTCGAGGAGGCCCTCCAGAAGAGGGGGACACGCTGGCCCCAGAGCTCCTCCGGGGATGGGGCTCTCTGGGGGCGCAGAGCAGAGCAGCTCACCGTGGGGCAGCGCCGCCATACCCCCGCCCGGGGGTCAGGGCTTCTCCTCTCCTCCCGACATCCCAACCACACGTCTGCGGAGCCTCAAGTAACCCCATTCACAGCAAAGCGAACACTTCTCCTTCCCCTCCCTCAGCTGAACTCGGGCCAAGTCAATTAACATTTCTGACTGGGGAGGGAAAAAGAAAAAATATATCCAAACAGTTCATTTGTCTTTTGTGTGACTCTTCCCTCCTCCCCCTCCCACCCCGCTTCAAAAGCGCCGTCCCAGGAGTCTATTACGGATACCAAGGAGGGAGGGGGAATTGCAAGCTAATTTTACCTCCTTCACCAATGACAGTTGCTGACGTTCAAATTAATGAAAATACAAATTCAACATGGGATGAAGTCTTGGCAACTGTCTGCCCACGCGGAAGCCCGTGACCCAGCGCTGTGTCTGTTCGAGCAGCTATATCCCACCTTACCGCTGCCGGCCCAACAGCGCTAAAAATAAAATAAATAAAAGGAGGGCTGCGAGGGGCATCCAGAACGTGCGTGTTCGTCCTCGCCACCTCTCACATTTCTTAATGGCTCCATCCAGCTCGTTCAGGCACAAAGGAGGTTTCAAAATAAACCCGTGAAGAGCTTTTGAATTGCTGTGTTTGTCAGACACAAGCACGCACACATGATTTGCAGCTAGAAACGCACCTTTTTAAGCGCCAGACAGCACTTAAAGACTCGGTCCCGGCTTTATTTTCCAGCCTCAGAGCGAGAGCCGAGGGAGAGAAACAAAAACGTGGGATCAGGCTCTGCAGCCATTTGCCTCCGCAGGAGGACGGGGCTGGAGCGGAGGAAGGGGTTAACGGCAGGGGAGGAAAAAAGCAGAGCGCAGCCTTCTAAATGTGAAACGCAGCACAAAAGCAACAAGCCCGATGCTCACATCCATCTACTGCATGCGCTGCCTCTCTCCAAACAAGACGACAGCCACTTCTGGAGAGGATGCGTCGTCACGTGCTCAACGCCACAGTTATTCTCTCCTCGGCACTTCCCTCGGATGAGATGTTTAACACCGATTGAACCAGGGGCGTGTAACATTTAAAGCTCTCTACAGAGATGCATAAATCTTTAAATAACCCTTTAAAAATAAAAGCACATTCTCAAAGCCCCTTCTTTCTCTGAAGAACGTAAGATTTAATGAGGTTCCCTCTCTTCCCCTCCCGAATTGAACGCCCACTCCCACCTATGAGTCACTTGTGCTCCTGCTCTCGCTGCCCGCCAGAACCACAACTGAATCGATCAGTCATTTACACATTTTTTTTAAATTTTTATTTAAATATGGCGTCACTGTTAGAAATGTAACACTCGCACGGAGCTGGGCAAGTTCAAAAGGATCCTGCAGGAAGACTCAGGTACAAAAGGATTAAAGTTCGTTCTCTGTGCAAGCTGACCCTCTGCCCTCGCGTGTGGCGTGCAAAGCCAGCGGGGCAGCGGGCGCCCGCGCCAGGCTCCCTCCTCCCCCCGCTCCTCCCAGGAGCTCCTGAGGAGCGTTGCGCTCCCGGTGAGGGGATTTCTGCCCATCACAAACACTCAACTTGCAAACTGCACCTTCACGTCCCACCTCACCAGCCCCTCTTACCCTTCCGGTCTTGTCAACAGCCTTGTTTAAGGCATCTCTACAAGTCCTGTGAACAGCCTGACCAGAGGTTGTAGGGTGGAGTCGAGAGAATGATCCACCACAGCGGACCAGTTCTCCGCTGTTCAGGGCTTAAGTCCAAATCAAATCTCTTCCCGCCAGGCTTGGGGGCACACCGCGCTGTGCTTTCCGACCTGTCTAGGGCAAGCCAAGCCAGAGGTGATTTGTGTGAGGGAGAAGAATTTGTTCCGTGCTCACATATGTTCCCAAATCAAGGGCGGTAAAGAGCCACACGTGTTCAGACCCAACGACCTCCCGACACCAGGGCCCTGCCTGACAGGGACGGCTGCTCAGGAGCAGCACGAGAACATCCAGTACAGAGAAATCCTCCTCCTGCTCCGGAGGGTTCCCCGGGGGCTTCCTGAGCTCTGGCCCACAGCTGGACTGCTCTGTTCGACAGCCCCCAAAGAATCCACCCTTCACGGACGCGGCCAACTCAGTCTCCGACACCACAAAAGCGTAACGCCCAAGTGCTGGGAAGAGGACATTCAGACTGGCTGGAAACAACGCTTTATTTCACTATCTACCTAAGCAATTAAGCAATAACTCTTGAAATAACTGAAAGGTTAAAACCTGTCACCACTCACCACCTAAGTGGAACCAAAATCACATCCCGCGCTGCCTAACCGTAACACGGGGAGCGCTGCTCTGCGGGGCCACAGTTCACCTTTAGGTCTCCAATCCCTCTGAAACAGCACAAGTTACACACGAAAACTTTAAAAAAGATATCTTCCAGTAATTTGCCTGTCATCTTCTGACATGACAGCTCTTATTTGGGTTTAAATACTGCTGTTTGCATTAGGGGTGTATAATAGCTGATATTACCGCTCTGGAGATGATCTCCCACCACGGCAGTCACCCGCCCGTGTGCGGGGGTACACCCAGCGCGGCCGGCAGACAGCACGGCGGGGGGAGAGCACCCGCACGGCTCCTGGGCGTGCAGGGGGCCGTTCCACCCCCGTGGGAAGCAGCCACAGCCCCCGCGGCAGGAGGCGTCCCGGGAGCTGACACCGACAGCAAAAGGTGTGCAGACGCGGGCACAAACACTTCCCCCGCTCCGTGCAGAGGGCTCAGCGCCAGCCCTCACCCGACTGCGAAGAGGATCTCACACGCTCTGCTCCTCTTCTTCAGAGGAAGGGCAGAGCACGGTGTTTTTCCAGACACAGACCGTGAGGTGCGAGGCCCAGCTGCAGTGCCACCGTCCAGAGACCCTCAGCAGTGAGCAGCACGGACTGCTCTGTCCTGGGCCCACGGGACACACCACCCCTCCCTAACGCTGTCAGTCTGCCCGAGCTGCCGCTCTTTAATCGCTCTGAAGTGCATAAACCAGACAGGAACGCAGGCTAATCACCCCTGGAAAAGTTAAAAACAAACAAAACATTTCAGCTAAAGTGAGGACAGGAATACACCCTCTGTACAGAACCATTCGCGGGGCAGGTCTGCAGGAAGGGGATGGATTTCACACGCTGCGTAACCCGCTCTGAAGGGGGTCCCAAGCCGCGCTGAACCCCTCCAGCTGCCCTTTGCTTAGAAATACAAAGCCAAAACCTAAAGAATTATTCCCTTACAGAACAAAGTTATCTGGTTTTGAAACAATACAACCGTCCTGGAGATAGGCAGGATCCTGCTGAGGTTTGGGGGAAGCAGGGAGATGACCCCGCACTCTCCGGCCACTGCCATTAGCTCAGGCCACAGGAAGCCCAGGAGGGCGCTGGCTTTGGGGTCTAGGCTAAGCTTCACGCTCCTCTTCTGCGCCCGTGGCCGATGGGAGCACGGCTTCCTCTCCAAACAGCTCATCACGACTGCTCACCGCTCCGCTCTCTCCTCTAAGCCCTGCCTCAGCTTCCTCCTCTGCAGCTGGGAACGCACAGGGAAGCAACAGAGCACCGTTAGAGACACGCACACGCTTACGCTCCAGACTGGCACCAAAGCAGCAGTAACGGACTGTCCTGTGGGCTCTCGGGTTGGCTGCAAGATAGCCAAGTACTGAGAGCAGCAGATGTGCTCTCTCAGAGGTTCTCAGCTGGGACGGCTGCCCCTCCGAGGGAGGTTACGGGCACACACAGACCGACCGTACCTTCCTTCTGCCGCTTGAAACCAGGTCAGGAAGGAAAATGTAAAATTAGAAAGAGACGTAAGCGATGCGGGTTAGGGATTTTTCAAGCCTGGCAGCCTCATCATTGTGCTCAGGTCCCACTGCCTGTGATGGTGCTTCCAGCCCCAAAACTTGTGCAGAATTATGTCTGGGGCACTTACGCGTGGGCTGTTCCCGGCGAGAGCTCTTGCAGAGGACAACGGTTAACCTCTGACAACAGGGAAAGCATCTGGCATGTCCTCCTCTCTCCTGCTTCTGTGCTTAGAAAGGCCCTAGCAATCGAGTATGTGCTTCAGCGAGCCGATCGCGTTTTTAAGAGGATCCCTCCTTTTTAAAAGCCTCCACTAAGCCGTGAGGGAAGGCCCGGCCCTGCTCAGATTCTAGCACAAAAGTCTGCGGGATGTAAGAAGAGAGCAAAGGACAGAGCTCTGCAGGTCACCCAGCTGGCACTGGGACATCAGTTCTATTAGAAAAGGTTATAAATTACCCGACTGTCACCAGTGAATCAGCACTTGGAAATAAATCTATTTCACTTTGATGAGACTCCCTTCATCTTGGCAGGCTCCACCTCCGACCCACCTACATATCCCTTTGGCTGAACAGCAGAGCAGCCGCCCTGTTGGGGACTGCCACCCAAGGGTGTCGGACGGCATGGAGCGAAGCGCCGGCTCAGCGAGCCAGGCTCCGGGCAGCCTCTCCCCTTCCCCCCTCGGAAGGTGCCACCTGGGAAACCAATCGTGTTTCAAGTCATTGCCCAGAGAAATTTTGGGCATTGGGTACGGTTTGAGGCTTATTACAAGTCACAGCCTGACACCTTATTCTTCCATGACAATGCTCCAAAAAAGCATTTGCTGCCTAACCAGTAAACCAAGAGACAACCAAGATGTTCAGGTGCAAGGTTCGGTAAAGTCAGACCTTGCCTTGACTCAGGTCCACAGAAGCCCACCGTGCCGTCCTTACGGAAAAACTAAAGCCGTTTGCTTGGTCTTGAGCTACAGAAAATAGGGCTTTCCTTATCACAAGGGAAGGGCAGTCACAGGTACCCCTAATCACACTGTGGTAAAGCAAATCAGCATCTCTGCAAATGGTACTTGAAACCCTCCCTCCAAAACGATTAAACTTGGCTAAAATTAATCTAGGAACTCGGGTTTCTGTTGATGCAGGCAGTGAGAACGCAGGCAGCGAGACAAGGAATCTGCTGCCTTCATCGTACAGTTCCGCGGCTGCAGCGACTGTAAAGCTGAGCAGCCTTTGTCTTCAGTCTTCCCACAGACGCGCCCTTCAGCCTTCTGCTCACAAGCGACGTGGCGCAAAGGTACAGAGAGGCCAAAGAAGGAAAGCTACTCGATTGCCACCACTTTGTAAGAACCGCATGGTTAAAACCACACGCGGCCCTGTACTTACTGGTTAGCTTACCTTAAAACAACAGGAAATCCCTAATAAAGAAAGAAGCAATTCTGTAAGCAGATAGTTACCCAGACTGGAGCAGAAAAAACCAGCCTCAGCGTAAAGCTACATGCACCCTTCTTCCCCAGATGTGCCATCTACTCTGAACACTGAGTCATTTTAGGGCTCTGCTCCAAAATAACTCAGTCTAGCAAAACTGGCCAAAAGAATTAAATGTGCTAAACCACAGAGCCCAGCAGGAGCGAGCTATTACTGGACGAAGGAAGGAAATTGGCATATGGGTAACGGGCAGGAAGGGGCATCCTGGTTGATCAAATAAAGGACCAAGGCATCCGGAGCATCACGGCTCACTCGCTATGCGTCACTCGCACCACTTAATAATCAATAGTCTCCTCCACTGCTGGAAGGATTATTCAGATCTTGAGGCCTTTCCTAAAAAGCTTTAAACAGACACACACATAAAAAAAAAGCCACTTCTGCCCTACCCATCCCAGCACCATTCTCTCCTACCTGGTACTGTGAAGTCCTGAGTGTAGATGATATCATCTTCAATGTCATACAAGTCATCATCTTCTTCCTCATTGTAGCCATGCAGATCTTCCAGATAAGGCACCGCCGTCATACTTCTCCACCTGTCCTTTGTTTCGGGGCTGGGAGGAATGGGCACCAGAGCCTCTGCCTGAGCGTGTTTCTTACGAAACCAACTGCAAAGAGTCCAAGAGCAGAGTTTCATCAGCACAGCTTCACTTCTCAGAAGGCACAGAGAAATCCTTGACAGGACAAGATGGTCCCATTCCACCCCAATATTCAAAGGTATGAGCAGTTTTTTTACGGAAAACTTCCTAGCCAGTTTTACGCCACTGCAGGTTTTTTTCACGTGTAATAACTGAGAGAGGCAAGTGTCAAGAAAGGCAAGTCTGTCTGTCTTGCCGACAACACTGCAGGGACACCAACAGCTGCGTACACCACTGCACGAGGTGCTCTGTCCACTGGGTGCTTCGTCAGGTCTGCCCAGCTGTCAGCACGCTAGGTCCTGCCGCAAGACCCTGGAGCACCGGACATCTACAGAAGGGCAGCTCAGAGCCTGGAAACAGAGGGCAGGAACATCTTCTCCATCACCAACTCAAGCTCAAACTACATACCTAGAAGTCAAAACACATTAGCAGAGCCGCTAGCGCGCCCGAGTTGTCAAAGCAAGCAGGAAAGCAGAAACTTCTCCTGTCCTCAAGGTGAGGCTAACCCAGCACGAGACAACAGAAGTTTGCAGACTGTCAGCCTAAGGAGAGCGCTGGTTACTCACAAGCTCCTTTAACAGCCAGTTTTCAACAAGACCACAGCAAAAATGCTTATACTTTAACTTTTTATCCCACCTCTGCCTCAAGGGACTTCTATTACCATTAAAACCAGTAGCCATAGTGCTACCATCTGCCCAGTGAAGGGTATCAGCTCTGAAAGCTGTTCTTAATCAGACCGAGAATCCAACAGGCTCGCATGACAGCAGCATCTCAGAAGCCATATGGGTGGCCTCTTACAGCTTGATTGTACTTTCATAGCATGGCTCCAACGCCGGACCGTCTCTGGGACATCTACCAGCGCTGCATGTGGGCACCGAGACTTTCCTAGAAGTACTGCTGGAGGCTCCGCACTCACGGCGACCCTCTCTTGAACGCAGGTGGGACCAGAAGCTCCTCCAGACCTAGGTACCTCCAGCATGCCTGCCCAGCCCCCACACCTCCTGCTACGCCTTGCTCCCCCTGCAACACGTCCCGCAGCAGGGAGAGTCAGCTGCCTGTGGCTGGCAAATGAAAAGGTCAGGCGATGGCCCTCCGGTTGCTCCCTCCCCGATAAGTGGTGGGGTTCTGCCATTGGGGTGGCGTGCCTGGCAGAGCCACTGCACCAGGCTCTTACGCCCTGCCCCGGAGGGTCATTCTACACGAAGGAAGGGTCAGAAAGCATCAAAGCCTCCCACGTTCAGGACCATCTCCTGACCCGCAGTCTGCTTTCCGCGTGAACTTTTGAGCTGGCACTGATATCAACCCCCTTATTTCTCCGCTGTGGGTCGGATGTCAGTGAAAACACCGGGACCTATTCTTCCTGCTCTTTGGACAGTAAAGGGCGAGAAAAGCCTCACCAGATCAACTGCACTCTTGTGCTCACCTTGCTAAATGTTACCCAGATGCCACTTACCGGCACAAAGGGACACTCGGAGTCTTTCACAGCAGGAGGCAGCCTAGAAAGCCTAAGCTTTTTTCCCGCTTTCCAAGTTTACTTTAGGCTACAAAGGGTGCTGCTTCAGGAAGCAACTTAAGGTGTCTCTGAAAACACACCGCGAAAGCGGAGCGAGAGCCAAAATTATCCCCTCATGGCATATTCACTTCTTGGCCTGATGACTGCTGCCCCAGACAAGCCTGATGTGAGGCGAGCGCTCCCCTCCGCAGTTCGCGCAGGCATCCAGTAGCTCCCGGCTAACGGCCACGGAGGAGGGCCTGAAGCCAGTCACCAAAGAGCTCTTACAAACCTGAGCCATCTGGTTTTTATCACTCCTGTTCCAAATTCATTTTAGGAAGTAAGGGTTGGATGCACCTCCTGCACAGAAGAATTGCAATTATAATTTTATTCTAGTCTTACATTGCTTTGACAGCAGGCCTAAAAAAAAGTGGCATTCGAACAAAACTATCCAGCAAAAGCAAAGAGTTAGGAGATAAACACAGGAAAATGTAGCTACTGGGACAAATCAGCTAGGATTCCAAGGAGGAGTGAACCCTTAGCCAGAAACCCTCCTTCACAATTAGCATCTTTAAACTGCTTTCTCGGCAATGATTGAGTTTTAAAGTCAGTCTGCTGCTCTCTGAGAAAGACAGCACCTTGCCATTTTCAGAAGTAGAGAGTGAAGTAGTCCCTATAGACTGAAGTTTTACAGGAAATGTATTTTGGTTAATCACAGAGCATATCAACATCATACAGGGAGCCATGTCCCATCCTTCCATGCCGCCAGCCTGAGAGGATGGAGAACACCCCGAGCAGCCCGGAGGCTGGCACGGTCCAGCTGCACGCCGATGCCGAGCCCCTGGTGTTTCCTCCGTGGCCGAACCACGACCCCGCTGGAAGCTGCAGTGAAAGCAGCATGTTTTAGGGAAGTGGCAGAGAGCCGAATACAGATCTAATCTGCCAACGACGACCTCCGGTTCATGAAGTGGCGTTACAAGAGTTAAGTAAAAGGCCACCCCAGCGACTGCACTAGCAGGAAGCGAGCGGGTCCAACATAACTGGGTTTTGGCCGACAGTTTCAGCGAGCCCTGTGGATGGCTTCCTCGGTGGTGTGCATGGCACACGGCACTCCTAATTTGATCATTTGATTTCCTTTCCTTGGGAGACTGCTTTCATCAAGGAAGTGACTGCCAAGACAGCCAAGTCAGCCCGGGCTGATCCAGCCTGGCAGGATCGTCACCCGCAGGAACTGAAGACCCAACACAGCCACCAGCTATTTCTGCCAGGGCCGTCGGAGCTAGGGGGAACCAACCCGAATGCCAGGGACCTAAGGAAAATGGAATGTACAGGACAAATGACATCAGAATGACTGCCATTAAAAGGAGCATTTTAAAGGGAGAAAGCCCAGAAGTCTACAGCGAGTAGTGTTTTTATTTTGCTGTATTTCAGCTCTGCCTCTTTCTTTCCTTCTGTCCTACTTACCAGGAGAGTAAAAATAGGTTTTTATTAGCAGCAGAAACCTGAATCACTGTACTCTAGTCATTATGATTCTATCCTCTGGGAGGTGATTTCAAATACTTGCATATGCATATATGGTAATGAGGATATAGAGTGAGAAGAGAAATTCATTGAAGTTCTAAGAAAATCAAAGACCTCTTGGAAGGAGCCTCAAGCAATTCTGTACGGAGTAGCAGAGTATTTCCTGGCAAGCAATTTTCCAGCAGGGACAGACATTCTGCTTTCTACACTGGTGCTAAATGTTATTAGTGAAGATTTGCTCTTCAGCTGAGGACCACTGGCTCCATCAAACGCCTGATCTGCCTCAAGAAGCTACTGGCCACTGACTAAGCCAAAAAGCAGCTACTCTCCTGCAGTGCAACTCTCCCATCAGTCCCCCTCCGCCGCCTTCAGCACTGACCCTAAAACACAGGCTGGACTAGAGGGCTGCTGACAGAGTGCCCTTTTCACCATTTCTTTCCAGTTTCACTGATGTTTTCTGAGCCTACTGCCCTGGCACAAACATAACCCGGTGCTCACAGACTGCTGCTTTAACACTACGGGAAAAGACAAGCTTTTACAGATCTCAAACGCGCCCCTTGTCCAGAACATCCCTGGGAAGAGGCAGATTCCTCTCCGGTCTGTGACACGTCTCTTGGCCAACCCCGGCGCTTCGAAAGGCAGCGAAGGGAGCAGCACTAGGGAGATCGTTTCTTCCTACTTTGCAAGTTGCTGAGAATGCCTGCGAAGCACAAACTCCAGACAGCAGCGGCACAAGTATTAATTGTGACCCTGCCAGTTAAGCAGCAGTGTCCAGACAGGTTGCTATAATCTACAGGGAGATAAGACAGCAAGGGTCAAGGACTGAACGAAAAAAGGAATCGACCGGTGCTCGGCGAGCCGCTCTGGTTTGCAGCTTCCAAGCTTGAATTTTACATCAGAAGTCATCAGTCCGTTCTTTTCAAGTTCTGGCATAAGCAAGGTTAAAATAAGAATCAGTAAGCACAGCTGCAGCTTCCAAATACTTGCAGCTAATTTACTTCCCATTCTAGGTCACAAATGTTTCAGTTTCCTTGTTTTGTATATGGACAATTTTCTCTGAAACCAGATGCCAAGCTGCAGATCTCCACCCCGCCAGAAAGGATCGGCTATGAATGATTCTCCACCTCCCGTGATACCACGTAAGGGCTTCAAGCTTACTGGAAGGTCACCGCCACCACGAGAAGCAACTAACAGCATTCCGCTTTCATTCAGCCCTCTCACAGACAAACGTGGAGGACACACACCGGTGTGCCCTGGGGGAAGGCAACACACGTTAGCAGTACATTTATAGCGGCGTCCCCGCAATCACTGCTCCAACTCCTGTAACATCAAGAGACCTCCAAGTTCCTAACTGGGTTCATAAAAAAAAAAAAAGAAACGTGTATGAAAGAGAAGCAGTTTTCCCCGAGCTGATGCAAGGGCCAAAGGTCACAGTTCAGACTCCTATGAGGAGAGGTGTTCCGTGCACAGATGGAGACTCACATTCCTTTAAGGCACCACACACGGTTGCATTATGAAACCGATTTGCAGAATGTGGGTAGAAGAAGTGCAGATTCCTTCCGTGTGCCTGCTGCAGGGCAGGAAGGCAGAGCCGGGGCCTCGGCTAGCACGGAAAGGAGGAGAGCTTTTGTGTGTGTGTCCCACCGAGGGGAGATTACTGCATGACAGCACGGACAAGGGACAGGAAAAGCCCAACAGTATACACGCTGCATCGGAGTTCAGAGAAACCCCTCGCGCTCCCTCAAACTCAGTTACAGAAGGCACGGAGCACGCCCGGTGCTGCGAAGGCATCTGCAGTGGCCACAAACACAGGTTTCCAAGGGCTCCGTGGCAGAGCATCCAACAGCGACCCTCAGAGCCTCCTGGGCAGGACGCTGGGGTGAACAGCAGCAGCCGGGAAGGCGGCACGGCAGCCTCCGGGAGGTCAGTAGGAGACGCCAGCCCAGCAGGTTAATTTGCACCTCCACTAATAAAAGGTGGAAGTGCCTTCCCTTTCTTGCTATAAACTCTTGCAATGGTATCTATGACTGAACAAATTAAGTGTGACACTTCTGGAGAAGGAAGGCAAGATGGTTGCCTTGGAAACAAGGGACAGAGGTAGAATTCTGCATCCACTTCATCACTTTAAGTGCTGCAGCAGGGTCAGCGAATTAGTTTCAAAATGCAGCATACGAGCACTAAGCCCGTCAGCAATAGCACGGGGCAGAGAGGAGATGGCGAATCATCTATGGGGAGCAGGTTGCTAACTCCCTGGCTCTCGGCAGCTTTTCTTCACTGCCCCATGCCCCCACCCCAAGAGTACAAAATATTCACAGAGGTGAACTAAAAGCGTCAGTTTTCCATTGAACACCATCCTATTCAGGTCCTTCTGGGAAGAGCAGCTTTCAAGGCTCTGTCATTGTTATTCAGGGGTCGGCCTCTGGCAGTTCGTAAACTCTTCGATGACAGGCTGAGAGAGTTTTAATTCATTTCCATTTACAACTCACAGGTCTGCACTGCACAGATTGACTCGGTTTGAAAAGCCTTGGAAAGCAGAGAAGAG